ATTTGGCTTCATTGCATGTGTTTCATGAGTCTGAAGGACTTTATAGATTGGTATAAGACATATGGGCTAATATCAGACTTATGGCCTTGGACTGGATGTGTTCTCATGTTCAAACATTCTCGTATATAAATCTCTTTCTTATACACATATGTGTGTCCATGGATTTGTTTCTCTAGTCTACCCGGACTAACACAATGAGTGTCTCTGGATTTGTTTCTCTACTCAACCTGGCCTAACACAGAGGGTCAGAAAAGCTAAATAGCTTGATTCAAATGACAGATACCAAGAAAGGGATGGCACAGAGATGTAAATCCCTACCTCACAGCCCATGCTTTTTGACCCTGTCCATGTATCCCAAGGTTTATTAGATGCTGTTGACCATTTGTATTCTCTGTGCATTTGATACTCCAACACGTACCTGGGGTTTTCATACCCCCAGCTGCAGTCCCCCTTAGTCCATGATGCATGCGTGTTGGGGACTCTGTTCCCCACTCCCTCACTCATCAGGGAGCAGTTTCTATGCTGCCTCCCAGACTGGTCAAGGCTCAGTCGCCCACAATGAGAGCAACACAACGACAGCTTTGACAGCTGTTTGAACAATACACTCTTTCAGCTTCCTTCCCTTGCCTGTCTCCCTTCCCCACTCCCCAACTTCGCTGGGTCCCTTTCAAATCCTGCCTCAGGACCCAGGGGAAAACCCAACCTCCTCCACGCAGGATGCTTTCCTCATCCGAGAAATAGAAGTTGGTTTGACACTTCGGAGGTTTTTAAAACCGGCTTAACGATGTGACTTTAAAGAAACCCTCTAGGCACCAAGAGAGCAGAGGTACCGCATCAGTGGCAGAGGTGGTGTGAGAATGGCAGCGGGGAGACTATGCTGTGCAGGGCCCCAGACGGGGGCTGGCTCCCTGTCCTAGCACTAAAGTCCTTTCACTGTTTGCCCAGCCCAGCTGTGCTTCCCTTCTTGCCAGGGCTGCTGGGAAACTCCGAGGACTGTTCCTGCAGGGTTGCATTTTCCCTTCTGAAGGTTCTCCCACTTCCTACTGGATTTTCAACTTTCTGAGCTCGCATTTAACTGGTCGTGGTGTTGGCTGCCCGAGAACTTGGTTGGCAGGTGGTTGGGCAAGTAAGTCAAGACTGTCACGGAGGGCCCTGAAGACAGATCTGGATTCAAACCCCAGCCTCGCCACTCATCTACAGTGAAGCCACTTGGGCAGCGGCATCCCAGCCACACCCACCCTTGGTCGGTCTGTAATGTGGATGGGAGGGTCTGCTTCCTAGGGAGGAGCTGCTAAGATAAAACCGGAGCTTCAAGGCCAGGGCCAGCCCTGCAGGGGACCGCAGTGTTCCAGGAGCAGGCACCTCGCTGCCCCATGCTCGCCATGAGTTAAAATACGCCAAGAAGCTACAGTGGGCCGGCCCCACATGCAGGTCTCCTGGTGGTGCTCAGCTACAGGGGTGCTGTGGGACTGCCGTGCCCTCTGCTGTGGATTTCTGAGCACAGCACGCTTCGTGAGTCCCCATCGCACCCCACACGCTGGTGGAAACGGAGCCGCAGAGACACAAACCGATACAGTGGCAAAGGCCCCAGGCCAGCCAGAGGTCCCCAGCCCCACCCGTGGCCCTGCGTCCAGCTCTTCCCAGAGAAATGAACTTATTTCAGTCTGTTCCTTACTGACCACAAAGACTCTGCTCTGTCCTCAGAAATATTTGGAAAGTTTTATTTAAATGTTTGGAGTTCCCTTTTAACCAACACCAAAAAGAGAATTTTTTTTTGTGGCCATTCCAAACAGGAGAGTCGCTTCAGGGAGGGGCTGGCTTGCTGCTGGGAGCCGGGAAGTGTCAGCCCGCCAGGCCTGCTCTCCCAGCTTGGCCACCCTGAGTTGGGGGCCAGTCCCAAGAATGACTTCCTGGGCACCTGAATGGCCTTGGAATGAGTTAGGGAGCAGACTTCTTCTTGCGAGAGGGATTTGGTCTCCCCTGTAGCAGGGCTGGGCTTGAAGGCAGTGACAGAAGCATAGTAGGACATTGGTGGCTTCCGGGGCCAGGGAGGAGGACAGCAGTGGGGGAGGAGGGTCAGATCTGGAATGTTCCATAGAGGCTCTAGGGCCTCCAGGTCTGGAGAAGTATGTTTGCTAGAAAAATAAGATGCTTTGAGAATTCTGCAGTCTGTACTTGCTGTCTGTATGCTCAAGAGCCACCCACCCTGTTGGCCGAGAGGTGATGGGGAGGGAGCAGAAGCCGGGCGGTGGGATGGGGAGCCAGGAGCGGTCCGGCCTGGTATTGCAGAGCCCGGCCAGGCGGTGGCAGGCTTTGGTTTCCTGGGTCCCCTCTGAGGCAGCTGTGGAGGCCACTCAAGCCTCCCCACCCCTGGAGGTGTGGGCTGCCAGCAGGAGGGCAGTGCAGGGAGAGGGAGGTGGCCATCTCTCATGACTGGTGTGTGCCCAGGCCTTGGGGCCTCAGAACAAGGTGCTCATGGGGAGCAGGGCCAGCAGGAGCAGCAGGGGCCCCGGCGAGGGGCCGCTCGCTGAGCTGTCCGGGGCACAGTGGTCGCGGTTGGCACCGATGCAGGCCGCGTAGGCCATCACGTGGGGGATGTAGTTCTGCTCGTGGACACCGTGGAGCAGGTGGGCCATGGGGCCCTTGGCGAAGACGGCCACGTCCTCCCCGCCGTGGGTCTCGTGACGCAGGGGCACGGCCGACTGGGCCTGATAGTTGTTGTGTGCTGTGGGCCAGAAGAAGCACTGACTGAGGGGTGCGAGGCCGGGGTGGGGGTGGGGGCTGGCACCGCTGTGTGCTCAGTTCCAGCCCCGTGCCCGCCATGCCTCTGTTTCATAGAACAGGAACGGAGGCTCATCGGCTTCGTTTTGTCCAAAGCCATGGGCTTTGAACCCGAGTGGGTTCTTAAGTCAGAAGCTTGCACTCACTCCGCACCACCACCCCCCAAAAAAAGAAGAGCCCCTTGGCTCTTTGGGTTCACAGAGAGCCAAGGCTTCTAAGGGACAGGTTGGCAGCTCCAATCGGCCCAGAAGAAAGGTTTGGATATACACTTGCCCAAGGTCAGTCCTTGCAGACCCTGTGGGGCATGGGGCTGTCTGCTCTGACACACATGGCATTGCCTCCGTGGTCTCTGGAGGTGGGCAGCTTGTTGGGACGGGCAGGCACAGGGTCACAGGAAGGATCGGGGTTTGCCTCTTACCGCGGCCTGGACCACTAGACCCCCAGGGTCTCAGAGCAGTGAGAACGCCTAAATATGCCCTTCTCTTAGCATATTAGGGCAAGGTCTTAGAATACTACGCAGCCAGGGAAGCCGGTAGAGCAACATCTAGGACCTCTGCATAGGTCAGGCGCCGAGCTAAGCTGTTCACGCCCGTCTCGGGCTCCAGACAACATGCGGAGGTGGAGTCCTTTTAAAGAAGAAACTGAGGCTGGGGAAGGTGGATGGTTTACACACCCAAAGTCACACAGCTGTTAACTTGTAGAGCCAGGATCTGATTCTGATGCTTCTGCTCTTCTGAGACTGCTGGCCTTGCCCCAAAGCCTGATCTCTGCTCCCAAGTGCCTCCCGGGGCCAACTGTGTCCCCTCCCAGCCCTGGCCTGGCAGCCTCACCGTAGTCCACCATGGAGACGTTCTCTCGCTCCCCGCCCACCACTTTGTAGCCAGGTCCGTTGCCATACAGGATGGAAGTGAAGGGCTTCTTGTCTGTGTCACTCAACATGGGAGCCAGACCTGCGTGACACGGAGTAGTCCTGGGGTCATGTGGGAGCACCAGGAGTCCACCCCTGGCCCAAACCACTTTGAAGCCTGATTTCTTTCTAACCAGCCATCCCCAGTCCTCTGAGCCTCCCTCCCTGCCCTCCGCCCTCCCTCCCTCCCTCCCAGCATCCTCTCTGGTTTTCTCTTTATGTGATCCTCATCTACCCCCTTCTTCTGTCCACTCTTTTTCATTCATCTTCCACGGAGCCTTCTACCTTCCCGCCCGTCCATCCATTCAACCCACTCAGCCTCTCATCTTCTGTCCTGCCACCAAGAGCCTTTCTTCCTGGCCCAGCGCCCACGGAATGTCCACCATGTGCCGGGCCCTGGGCTTGCTGGCTCTCCCCCCATGCTCCTGCTCCCAGGTGGGCACCCAGGAGACCGTGGGTGAGCCCGGTGCCCTCGCTAATGGAGGCCTACCTACCAAAGATGGAGTTGCCACGGGGGGTGTAGCCACCAAAGGTGAAGACATGGGAATGGTCAGCCGTGACCACAGTCAGCGTGTCCTCCAGAGAGGTCATGGTCCCTGCCAGCCCTATGGCCTGGTCCATCTCCACCGCCTCGTGCAGGGCCTGCTTGGCTTTGCCCTCATGATGTCCGTGGTCAATTCTGCCTCCTAGGGACATTAAGACAAAGCCTTCCAGTGAGGAGAGAGGTGGGGAAGATCCGTAGGTACCCCTACCCTTCATCCCTCTCCAGACCAAGTAGCCTTTCTTGGGGAGAGACAAGCAATCACCTTCATCAGTCACCTACTATGCTCCAGACACCACAGTCGGCATTTCCTGTCACCCTTGGACCTTTCCAGGTGTCCAGAGAACGAGGCTCTTGACCACAGTCACACATATGGAACGTGTCGAGCCACGATCTGAAGCAGACCCCCAGCACCCACCGAAAAGTGTGGGACTTTCCCCAGGCCCTTCTATCCTAGCTCTGCTTCTTCAGCTGCCTGAGGAGCTGTGGACAGTTTGAGGGCCACAGGGGAGGGGAATGGGCACGCCTGAGCACCTACTGTGTGCCAGGCATGCCACACAGATGTCTCCTTCACCACAGTCCTGGGCAGAGGTGGGTACCATCTGCCCCACAGAAAGAGGGAGCCACCAAGGCCCAGAGCCAGGAAGGGAGCTCATGTCCCGGGCGGGATTCGCTAGGGTTCGCGTCAGGGTGGGACGCGCCCAAGCTCCTGTTTTTCTACCTCTGCCATGAGTGCGCTCCTCCAAGCATGAAGACCAGGAGCTGCCCCCACAAAGGGCAGGGGAAGCCCTGGGGCAGCTTCTTTCTGCAGGCCAAGGCCTGCCCCGCTCCCTGGATGAGGGCAGGCCTGCTGGCTGGGTGCGCTCTGGGGGTGACGTGCTGTGTGTGTGGCCCTGGGTGGGGAGGCAGCCTGGGTGGATACTTCCAGCTCTGAGGGTCGTGGAGCCAGCTGCCTGGTGCCCTCTCCTCCCGCCAGCCTGGGCCTCCACCACTCTGGCCTGGCTGCCTGGCAGGGGGGGGTCTGTCCTCCCTTTGTTGTGGTTCCGAGCCCTTGGCCTGGAGGGCCCAGCCCTGGCCCTGCTTACAAAGACAGTCACTCCCCGGGGAGCCCAGGCCTCACCACAGCGGCTCCTGGCGTCAGAGGCCTGCTCAGGGCCAGGCTGAGATCGCTGAGCTCGAGTGGGAACCCCGGGGTTTGGCAAGAAAGCAACCAAGCCAGGCTGGCAGCCACAGGCCTCTGGAGGGTGGAGGGATGTGTGTGTGTGTGTGTGTGTGTGAGGTTGTATGTGCACATGCATGTGACTGTGTATGTTTACATATGGGTCCCATGAGGTGGCATCGGGAACCACGGAGGACAATGCTGTTAGAGTTGGGGAAGATAGATTTCAGACTCTTAGTCACATCCTCACAGTTCTTACTCTTATTAACTTAGCCTTTCTGAGGGTCTTGGGGGAAACATGTAGGTTGGTCTCTGCTAGGCCCGGTTCCCAGGCTCACAAGCCTCTGGGAGTGGGAGCCGTTGGTGTCTGCACTTCATAGAAATGGTCAGGTCCCGACCATGCAGCCAGTGACGAGACCCAGGACGAGACCCCACCT